AGGGACCCTCGCGGAGAGTCAGTACAAGCCTTGAAAGAGACATGGACTTGCATAAGTGCACGTTGACGGTCCACAAAATGACAAGATCCTAATTCACTAAAGGACCGCGTGGAGTTAGATGGACCTCAGCCTTTATAATGGTGTGCTATATACGCAATATCAGCTGATTCAGAAAAATTATTATTCATGCCAGTCCTGTTGTTCTACAAGACCTCTCAACAAACTAGTCTATATAAACAACAAGAACCGCTCAAATCAACGTAGTCATCACTACTGCAGCATTACTATAAACCACTTGCAACTCTACTAACTCTGTATCCTTGCTACACAAGGCGTACCAAGATGAAGGTCTTAACCGCGCTCGCTTTTTTTTTCGTCGATCTCTCTGCGGCATCAGCGGTGAACAGCACGCCTATCGAACAGACACTGCAGCAACTTCAGCGAGGCAATCAGGTATTGGATCTTGTGCTCCAATACGGGTTTTCTCCAAAGCAAATCGCAGACCAGGCAAAAGCGCAAGTTAACGATGCCGTCTTTGCAATAAGAAGTGCTGTGGAAGAAGCAGCACGTGCTGTGCATTATGCAAATACTAGCATTAGGATGGACGCGAATGACCTTGAAATCGCAAGGCGCAATCTCGGATGGGCAGCAGAGGTGAGTTGTCACCCGAAACATAGCCAGGGACTTTGCTAACAATCTGGCCCGATTATAGATCCTCGAATCTGATAGGCACCACTATTAGTTAGGGACAAGTTCCTGCTGTTATCAGAGGTGCCATGTTTTCTTGTAACTGCCGCGAGCTTGTTCCTCAGCAGCTTTGTACAAGGGGTATCCGAAATGTAAGAGTACTATCTGCTTATAGAATATCTTATGGAGCCCACTCAGAATAAGCTTTTGTACGTTTGGTCTCCAAGTAGAGGTTTAAGTTAACATTATAGTACATCATTATTAATAGAAGACTTGAAAACTTTGTGCCTTCGTTTGAGATCTTGTACAGGGGGTCTTTGTGCACAATTCGTAGAAATTGGACCCTACAAGTCTAAACAGATGTCGCGTTGAGACATCCAGCCCGTATAAAAACTCCCTTTAAATTTCTCACAACTGCCCGGTTAAGTCAAGCTTTTGTTCCTCGATTCTCTTTTGGGGAACCGCTGGCGGCTTGGTCTCCTCTACAAATCTACTCCAATCAAATTCCGACTTATTGGCTCCGGTCCGCATTAAACCCTTATTATTCGAGGAAACCTTTCAATTACTATAATTATACATAAAGTTTGCTAAGCAGTACCTTGACATCACTATTCTGGATCCCCAATTCTTGCTCTATCGACTTAACCTCTTTATTAATCTCAGACTACAACAATCTCAAAGCTTCAAGCGTGTATTCCAAACTGCCAGAACGTCACATGAGCTGCAGTATTAGCTGCTTGTGCTCTAGTGACGACCCGCTATCGACTTTCCTTTGGGCAAGCAAGTTGTGCAGAATCATGCGCTAGCTCTTTGGGAGGCACTGCAGGGCGTGTATTATAGGCCTATGGCGTGGGATAGAGCTGTGTCCTTTTGGGTTCCGGCCTGCGCCTCGCTACCAGCCAAGGCTGCATCAGAATTGTGACATGGTTTGGCACATGGATAATGTCGTTTTACATCATGAATTGAATTTGGGAATGAGTTCATGTAGCATCAATGTAACAGAACGTCAAAATATTGGTGGCAAGTTATCAGCAACTTCGATGTTGGGAGGAATATGGTAGGGCTCGGGTTAAAAGGCGCTGTAGCAACGTCTTCATCATTCAGCATCATCAACCTTTGTCATCAGGAATCATCAATTCCATATATTCAATACCTTCTAGTTCCAGTGTTTAAATTGCTGTTTTGTTTCCAACAATTTGATCTATACACCCCGACCATATCACGTTAAAAATTTCATCCATCTTTAGCAAGCTCCTAGTCTTGCACCACCGCCAACCGGTGACATCAACTACCACATTGTGACCAGAGGTACTCATTATTAATGTAATAGTCAGGTGCAACGAAATGTGTGGCGGGACAGCAAGTGTCTATCTGACTAGTAATACTAAAAGCCCCCGACGCTTATCTTCAATCCTAGGATACTATACAATAATTACAAACCACAAAAGTAGCGTGGCATATTGAAACCCTCGGTCAACTAGTAGATATCATCTGTAGATACTATCTTTTCAATACGCCTGACGGGTACCCTGTTGTCCACCGGGGGGGCGTTCGACTGCTGAATATCTTCCCGTAACTGGTGCCAGAGTAGATAAAACCCAGCCAAAGATGAGAGGCATCCAAACCCACCAGCTATTTGCGTAAAAATTGAACTCGTATCTACAAAACCATCTGCCCGAGCAAAAGACGACACGCTGCTAAAAACATACACCATCTCTAATGAGCCGTACAGGATAATACTAGGAAAATTCCTATACAGCAAGTCAGCAGTTGGTCTTTTAGTATATTGCAGACTATACTTTACGTCGACCAAGATGCAACGAAGAAGAATAGATTCACAATGCTCCAGACTATATACGAGTTATTACTTTTTTTGGTTCATGTCCCAAGTTCCACGCACGTCTGGTTACTTACCTAGCTGGTAAATGCCAAGGGCATTGAAAAACTCGGCGGGGTTAGCCTTGTATGATTCGAAAATACCGAAAGAGGGCGTGAGCAGCGCTCCGGACCCAAGGTTGTACAGCCCTGGCCGAGGGAACAGCGAACAAGAAGAGACTTAGCCGTTGCAATACTTGACAAGTCGAGAGGGGGCGCTCGTTACCAAAAGTAGACATGATTGTGTATCCCATCGTGTTGCCCCTCACCATTTCCCACTGCGCCGAGATCAGGAGGCCCAGCCCGCCAAGGAAAGTAATATTCGCTATAAAGACAGATTGGTTGGTGATGCCACGGAAGCCTGTAGCAGATAATGACGAGGCTAGTATTGTCGTTGAGAAGGCGACAAACACCAAGGCACTCTAGAGACACATTAGCAGACTGCCACACGGTCGTCTCGAATGGTGACTTGTACAGGATTTGCAAGCCGTTGGGATGCCATGGTTATCGAATGTAACCATGGCCACGTGTGGAATCAAACAGGAGTAGTTCTGGATCTAGGCTATCCATCCAGGGAAGTAGAGCTTTTTGTAACGTTCAATTGAAGTTGACTGCACGTAGTCGCTGCCTATAATCTTGTAACCTGACTAAAACAGTTGATGTTTTAGTCGGTTGTCTGAGGCGGGACCTTGCCAGACATGCTTGACTCGTCAGCAACGCCGGCCTTGTTTGACGTCCTTGACTCGTTGGCAATGCACTGGAGGTCCTGAATTTCTGAGGGTGTTTTTTGTTGCAAATAGTTGTCGCTTCGCCATCTACTAAGCTGGCTAGGGTGTAGAGTCACTCTGCTCATGCACCCCAAGTGTGCTGGCTGCATACGCTTATTCCAAGCGGCAAGATTATCGCTACATACAGCTGTCGCGTTTTAACCAGTTTCTTTAGTGTTAAACTATCTCTATCTCGATGGTCCTTTTGAAGTCTCAAAGTGTCAACTGGTCCTCTCTGCGCTGCTTCTCCTTCCTTTACGAGACATCCCGCCTCCTTCTCGACGAGTTTCATCCCACAGGCACCTCCTTTGTCTGCAAATGTCACACGGTTGAGCCCCAACAAAGGTTGTTGGACCAACAACGGTTACACAACAACAAAAGACATTACGAAGCCCAAATGAAAGCGAGCGCCGCCCAAGGTCTCTAGAACGTACCGACTTCTTGTATTTATAGAGAGCTTAATCTTGGGTTTCTGTTAGCCTCGTGGACAACCGAGGAGCTTTGATGCCATAGATTCAATTAGTAAAGATTGAATTGAGCCCTCGTTCCAAGTCCAGTTACACTGCCCTTGTCGCGTCGCGGCGGAAGAACTCGATTTTGCTGCAGGATATGAGAAGGCGGAGACGACGTTTAATGCAGAGTAACGTCAGTAAACCTTCAAAATATACGTTGCGTATTCTTGTTGGTGCTAGAAAGGAATCTTGCCGAGCCCTGAACTCTGCAGGAAGATCTGTGCTATCAATGACCGACTTGAATCAATGTTTTGTCGCTGGTTTCATCATCTATGAGACTCCTTTGCTGTCCGTAATACTTCACCGTGACTCCTTCGGGTACATTACACTATTAGGAAAAACAATTTACATGGGATGCCACATGGACAGCTCCTCACTCTTGTTGGGTGAAAAAGGTGATGTTCAGAGGCTGTTGATCATGATGGTTGCTTCCTCTAGGACCCAAATTAAGGCTCGGATTGAGGGTCCCGGCAGGGATCGTCAGGGGGTTCAACAGGGTATACAAGGAGTCGATGTACATGATTTTCAATCGAGATGTTCGTCAATCATGAATGTCGTCAAATCCGTTCAATCAAGGCACCCCAAAGCCTGCCCTACGCACGTTCAAGAAGTTGCATACTCTGACCCTCTTCCCCAAGCGGACTACGGGCCGTGGGCTCATCAGTCAAGACTCAGCTGTCGTCTGAATAAGTTCTGTAACTACGACGTGTCTCCTGCCAGTCCATGACTGACTCATTGACTCGCCTCCGGCCAAATAGTCCCACAATAGAGCCAGCAAGCCCTGCATTCTCGGGATGCGCGATGATGAATCTGTGAGCTCGAGTATAGCCAATTCGATCAATATTGACATGACACATGGTGTCATGACGTCCGGTATAAATTGACAAACATGGAGCATTTCGTGTACGCATTAGCAGGATCCAAAAGCGCCCTGCATCGGTGAAACCGAATGTCTTCTGAAACGTGTCACCGGGCCAAACCTGTAGTCACCACAAACTATGAGCATCAACGTGGCGAGGATCACTTGAATGCCTGCTTTGAGAAGTCGGCATGTGTGGGTTCTTTAGCATAAGTTTGAGGTAAAGCAGCCACATGTTCCACGTGCAAAACAAAAGAAAATACAAAATTGAGTCCCAGGTTCGACACACAAGCCAAGTTGCTATGCAGCCGACATCCTCTTGGGGTCAAAGTACACCAGTATTTCCTCAACTGTCTTTGCTATCATTCGCCCAACCGCCTCAATGCATTGCCAAATCTTGCATGGAATATAACATAGCAGCGAAACTATACCTGCGACGCAACCCCAAAGACACAGCCCCAGAAGGCCGAAAACGGCCCCCATAAAGCCGTACATGACGTCGCCGAATGATTTGACAAATGACCACAGAAGAGTTGGAAACCCGACAAAGACAGCTTGCAAAACGGAGCAGAAGCCGTTCCACACATCTCTGGGAGTCATTTGCCTGAACCAAGAGAGCACTGCTGCAACCACAGTGTGGAAGAACGAAGCCGTCCTCTTGACAACATGGACGACCCAGTGGCCAGCTTTGCCCAGGGTATCACCAACCCAGTTGGCACATATCCTGACGCCCGAGGGCACGGCTCGGATCAAGCGCCAAATGCCAAAGGCAACAGACTTGGCCAAGCGAGGTATTTTCCTCACGCCCCTAGCTATACCTCCCCCAGCAGCAGCGAGCCTCGAAGGCAACCTTTCGACCTGCGACTTGGCCCAGTTGGCGAACTCACGCCGCCGCTTCCACGCTGATTTGAGCGCCTTGGCTGCAGCCTGTGCGGCTCCCTTGGGGACTTGCCAGACAAAAAACACGACAAACGTCCCAATCTTGTCGAGGGCGGTCCTTATGCGGTCCATTTCCTCCCGATGCGCAAAGCGCCATCTCTTCCACGCGCCACCACGTCTCTTTGGCAGATAGTCAACGATTTCGCGGTATCCATTGGCGGCAGCCAGTCGAAGGGCGAGGGCGCCATCGGGGGCGATCAAGGAGTCGTCGGCGTGGAATTCTTCCATCAATATCTTGACAATGGCAAGGCTGCCTGTCTCTGCCGCCAGTTGCAGGGCCGTTCTATCCAGAGTGTCCCAGTTGATGGCTATTTTGCCGTATTCGTCGACCGTGGCGCCGCGTGAAAGCAGCCTTCGAACCATGCTGCTGTCGCGGACGCGCACCGCAGCCAGCAGGGGAGTCTCCCCCGATCTGCTCGTCGTGTTGGGCGAAACGAGGCCCGTGGCGATGAGGCGCTCAACCTTGTCACCAAGACCCCGCTGTATAGCGTCGAAAAATGACCAAACGGTGTCAGCTTGGGCCTGATGGCGCTCTGGCCCATGGCGATGCTCCTCATTTGGCCGTTCGGAGGTGTTGTAAGCGGGCGGGCTCGCTGGTGCATACGAGACGGGCGAGTCGACGTCGGAGACGCGGTTGATGCCAGGGCGCAAGCTTCCCTCATCTGTGGCCGAATATATCGGTAACGTCGGATCCCCCTGTTCCTCTCCTTGTTCAGCTAGGAAACTCATCGATGAGAAAGAGAGAGTTGTGGGTGAAGTCGACCGGTGCTCTCCGCTGAATGCGTCCCCCTCAGCCCCCCTCTTATTGCTGGAGGAACGGAATTCTTGGCCTTTGTTGGGACAAATGACAAAGGTCCCGTGGTTTCACTGGTTGGTGAGCGCTCGGGCAGGGGCTGAATCAATATTCAGGCCCTGTTGACACCCAACGCCGTGCCCGGTGACATCAAACGCCACCGGCGCAATGCCTCGGATTGTCCGCTTGCATCAAAGAGTCCGCCGTACGCAGCCTCATCAATCGGAGCATTCTGGACGCTTCTTCAAAGCTTCTGTTCCTGGTGGTGGGTGTGACTAGAGCTTGGACCATAACCGCTCACTCAATGGCAAAAGTGCCGTCGCCCGTCTTGAAACGCGGCACGACATGGCAAATGGAATCCGGTATGCCAAAATGACGAGTCTTATTTTCACGATTAATTATATATGAAACGAGCAAGAATATCCAGAATTCGGGGTCTATTGCATGCAGCCTGCCGCATGCTCCCCAGGGCGCCATGTAAAGAGCCGTGGCTATTTATAGACAACCATGACCCAGATCTGCTTTCTTGCACCAGGGTGGGAGACTGATATTCCCAGAGACGCTATATAGAGGAACCGCATCTCTTCCCGGAAGCCCAAACCCAGGTCCTTTCAAATCGAGACAAATCCGCAGGCAGGTAACATTTTGACTGTCCAGTACTACTACCATTACCCCATCCTGGCATCACTCGTTCCCCCCATCTTCATCAGAACCATGACTTGAAGCTTTTTCCTGGGTTCCAAAATGTCGGATAACGAGCCAAGCTGGCACAATGGATACAGCCCACAGCGCAAAGTTGGCATATACGCCACCAACTTGGGCGATTATGGTAATGGATGACAAGCCATAGCTGACGGCTTGCCAAGCCGATTCCGTCCCTCGAAGAAGCGCCGCATAGCGAACAACCTCGCTATTATCTCCGGAAATATTCTGAATGATAAAGTACCTAACAATGTCAGCGAGGCCCTCGAATACATGCGCAGTCATGGTTGTCCACTTACAGAAAGAGGTAGTTTAGTTGGAAGCCGAGAGTAAGAAAGACAAAGACCAAGAATGCAGCCGCGAATCCTGGGCTGGACCAGTCGTACGTCGGCTGCGTATATCGGAACTTGGTGACTAGAACCGTTGCCCACGTCCACCACGCTCCCTGCAGTATGACAATGAGCCAAAACGATGATCTTGCTCGTGTCTTGTGCGGAATCGAGGTACGATCAAGCCAGGACTGCGGTTGAAAATCCGTCAGCAGTGTCACAGTGGTACTATTTGCGAGTCATCTCACCCCGAGTACGTTTCCGCCAATGACGGCTATAATCCCGGATAGAAATGACCCCAACGCCCTCGCCCGGACCGAGAACCAGACTAGCAAACGTCAGCCACGAGTTCCATCCCGCTCAAGTTGGCAACTCACGAGACAGGTAAGTAAAGAAGACGGCCTCTGCAAACACAGCCTGGCCAATGAATAGCACTATTAGGAGAAACTGCTTGCTGAAAAACAGCTTGGTCGTGCGGAGTATTTCCCTCCCGGGGTTGTCGAGAATGGACAGGTCGACCTGTTTCCCATCCTTGCGCTCTACCTGATGGGGCTGGTTGAGCAGCAAGGCCACGAGGGGACCCGAAGCCTGCAGCGCAATAAAGACCAAGAAGACGGTATACGAGACCTTCCCAGCCTCGTCCTTGTCCGCGTTGAGCCCCAGGTTGATGGCGCCGCCGAGAACCTGCCCGGCAAGCCGATACGTCAGCCAGTAGCCCAGGGCCTTGCCCTGATTCCACGGCTCGGGATAGGCAATGGCGATGGCGGCCTCGGCCATCCAGAACACGCCGGCGGAGATGCCGCAGAGCGCGGCGCCCAGGATGACGAGCCACTCTGTGCCGAATCTGTTGTTTGTGTAAAGCCCGGCTGCGTAGGGGGCGTATCCGAGCCTGGGGTTGTGAGTTTCAGAGTACCCTTTGACGTGCTTGGCTTGACTTACGTTCCGAATATCAGGGCGCCCTTGATTCCAATGTAGTGAACGAGCGCGCTCGATACCCAGCACGAGACAACCATGGGGCAGAATGTCAGTGCGTTGGCCGTGTTGACCAGGTACGGCTTTTGCGCGCCGCCGCCGCCGAGGGAGTTCATGGCACCCCATATTCCTGGCGCCGCGAAGTTACACAGACCGAGAATGGTCATGTTGTAAAAGGTGGACCGGTACCATCTGACTGCAGACTGTTAGATGACGCTGGCTGGCCTGTCCCGGCAGCAATACACGTACCCTTTTGCTGGCGTTGAACTGCCGCTGCTTCGGGTTCGGGCTTCGTCGTGGAGGACATGTTGTGTTGATGTGCCTCGGGGGGTTTGCGTAGTTTACCACGCAATGTTTGAATAAAGACAATCCATACAAGCAAGTGTCCGTCTTAAATATGCCACACTGAGATTTGTATGCTTATCTGACGGAGGTTGAAGTGGATAACGTGTACAGTGTCGCCAGCACCCAAGACAATCACGTCATCATCCTGGATGAGGGTTCAACGTTGACTTACACGCCGCCAAGTACATTGGCTTGATTGGCATTGCTCCGACGTCGGTAGGAGAACCAGACGCCGTCGCAAATCACGAATCCCGCATTTCGCACATCATCCACTGTCAATCCATGTCGTTGAAAAGCTAGTGTATTTTCACGCAGCTACTATGGTAAATCCCACCAGCTTTCATGCAGCTCTCTCAAGTCCATATCCGCAGGGCTCTTCAGATACGACGTCATGTCCGACCCCGGGTCCAGCTCCTTTCGCGTCTTGCCATTTCCAAAGTACCAGAGAAACCGATTCCCAGCGCCGCCGAGATACTCATACTCAAAGTCCTCCCACCTCGGCTCTCGCCGAACCAGACTCAAGTGAGCGGCGCTGCCAGGCCAAACGCCGTGGATTCGAGACCCGGCCCGGCCGCCGTTATACCACGAGCTGCAGTTGTCGGACAGCACCGTGTCGGCAAAGAAGGCGTCGCAATACTGGACAAAGTCGTCGGCCGCTGCGCCCGACGCGCCCACCGCCTTGATGCCTTCCCTCGACACCTTGCGCAGAATCTTGGCAAAGTAGGCGAGCTGCGTCTCCACGGAATGCGGCACCGTCCCCGAGGGTCCCGTGCCGTGCGGGCCATGCAGGAACAGCAGGTTGGGGAAGCCGGGCGTCGCCACGCCCAAGTACGTGTAGGGGAACCCGTAGACACCGTCTTGCCTCCATAGCTCGGCGAGCGTCTTGCCGTGGGCGGTGATGGACAAGGCCGGAACCAGGTCCGACCTCGATCCGGTGGCGCAAATCACCGCATCCACAGCCCGGTGCTTTCCGTCTTCTGTTTCTATGCCCGACGCGGTGAAGCGCCGGATTTTCGTCTGGATGTAGTCTACATTCTCTTGGACAATGGCCTCCAGGTAGCCCGGCCCGGGTGTAAGTCGACGGCAGTTCGGCGAAAAGTCGGGCACCAGCTGGTCCGCGAGCTCCGGTTTCCCAGCAAGCCGCCGCTTCATGACGCTGGTAAAGTTCGCCTTGAGCTCGGCGTTTTCAGCTGTCCCGCGGAAGAAGGAGTCGAACCGTCGCCAGTACTTGTCCTCGAGCGCCTTCCGGAAGTCGAGGTATGCCTCGTCGTCTTGGAAACCCCCCTGCTCGTCCTGCGAGATGGGCTGCGCGTCGAGGGTTCTCTCGTCGCCCGCCCAGCTCGTCGCTATCCACGTCTTGCTCCTCGCGTAGTGGTCGAGGCGGGCGACCTTTTTCTGCAGATTGGCCACGACTTGGATCCCGCTTGCGCCGTTGCCAATCACGGCCACCGTTTTGCCGGCCGGATCAAACGTGGCATCCCAGTTGGAAGCGTGTCGCAGGGTGCCCTTGTACTCGGACATGCCCGGATACTCGGGCAGCTTCCAGTCGTTGAAGCGCCCGACTGCTGCGATGACAAAGTCGTACTCTACCGTTGATGCGCTCCCCGACTTGGTTTCCGTCACGCGAAGCGACCACTTGCCCGCGTCGGCGTCCCATCTCGCAGCGTCAACGCGGTGGCCAAACTTGGCGTACTTGTACACATTGTACTTGCGGGCGACGGACTGCCAGTAGTCTCGTATCTCGTGGCCCGGCGCGAACTTGTCGGACCAGTCTTTCTTGGGGGCAAATGTAGATTGATACACGTGCGAGGGGATATCACAGCGCACGCCGGGATAGATGTTCTCCAACCATGTGCCGCCCTATTTGCATGTTAGCCGTGTATGATATTGCAACCACGCAAAAGCCAACTCACAAAGTCGTTATTCTTTTCGATAATTGTCAACTCAATCCCGGGGACCTTGGCCGGCAGGAGAATCCCTGCAAGGATGCCGGCCAAACCTCCGCCTATGACGGCAACTTGGAGTGGGCGTGGTTCATCAATGAATCTATCGATTAGTGAAACCTTGGGCAGCTCATACGATAGCTCAGGTGGGCCGCTTGAGCCATGAACGTCTTGCTGGAGTGTACGCCCCTTGATAAATGGCGTCCCGCCATTCTGGTGGCGTTGCGTATGGCCCTGGGGCGGCGGTTCCTCAGTCGCAGCAGTCATTTGTTTCCTTGGATGTTGATGAACAAGAAAGCGACCGACTGCCTCCAGGGCGCTGAATACTTATGCCCTGCTAGACCTTTCCACTCAATGCGCGGGCTGGCCGTCACGTTGGCGCTGGCGGAGCACGTAACGACACCCCAGGATCGCATCATCCAGCTAGTCGATTGTCCATCCAGGGAACAAGGCCCTTTCCAGTACTGGTCGGGCATTGTACCGGACAGCCACTAATTGTCCCTGTGGAACTCAATTGGAAGGGACCTTGTCTTGGGGCGCGGCCAATTACGCGCGCACGCCTAGGTCTCTGTTACTCACCGTCATGGCGGGTAGCCAAGTGGTGACGTACTTGACCATGAGAGACTTGTTGTCGTGTTGACGCGAATCAGCGCAACGTGACGCGCAAGTAAATCTCGATATGTAGCATCAGGTAGAAACCTATCCAAGTGAACGACTCGTTTGGCGAATGCACAGGAATAGTATCTTTAGTCGTCCTCGTCAATGGTCTGTGAGGCGGATGGTGGGACGGCGACTATCTGTTCTTGCTCATCTCGGCAAATGACGTTTCTGGAATAATGGGGAGCGCTCTCAATGGCAATGGCTTAGATTCTATCGTCCTAGCCGTGAGGATTCACATCACTCCAACCATTACATTCTACCTGGAAGCTGCCGCCAGCATGACGCCGCGAGAGTGCATCAGGATATGTCGCCGGTTTGTACACGTCGAAGCCCGTGCATCCTGCAGCGTGGTCTTTCTCCCGTCCGGCAAAAATTTGTGCAGCAACTGGAGGATGTCTTGATAGTATTTACAGGGCTTACACCAAAGTCTTCATCAGAGACGCAAGGTCCAGATAGCACAATATTCCTAGACTGATGCCGTATAGACATTGACGAAGAGGAGACGATGATGGGTACAGTCATCACAAATATTGCAACATAATTTGTATTGGCTTCTATGGCTTCAGGGCCCAGGCATCTGATTCTGAAGCCATGACTATCACATTGCCTTGACAAGAATCACTTGAAACATAATCGGTTTAAAAGGCGTAGAAAAGATGCATCATGGCGAATATCTACGTCGTGTGGCCGTGATAAACCAAGTAAGCGGATTGGCTCGTTTGACCCAGAGTTTTCAATCCGATGGCGGAACAAATAGTAGGTAGCCCCGATTCAAACAGGACTTGTGAGAAGAGGAGTTCAAACAGTTTCCATAGTCGCCTTGTCATGTTTCTCCATCGCCTAGCCTCTGGGCTGTAAAACTAGCATTTACAGGGCTCTTCATTCCAGACTCTCATTGTAGCTGATGGGACACTTTTGGCAATCTTGCCGACTCCCTGGGGCTCGAATGCAAGTAAAGCTCAGCAACAAGCAAGTACATGGAGCCAAAGCCAACCACACACCCAGGCCAAATGGCATGGTCAACGCTGTGGTAGACTCGTCCATTCTGTGTGCAGTCTTGTCGACCTTTATAAGAAATGCCTGTTTCAGTTTATTTCCAGGGTAGCAGTCCTCACAGATGGGGTATACTACAACACTGCGCTTTGGTTTCGTGCAAAAATGTAGTCGACACCATGGCAAGTCCGGGCAGTGTAATACGCCCGGCCTCCACGGCCAACGACTTGGGTAAATGGACGCAGCCAGAAAGGGCATGATGACTATTGAGCTCGCCTAAAACGTAATGTTAGCTTGTTCTTGAAATAGGAGGGAGTGGTACACATTTTTGCTCTTGTGTAATGGCATACCGCTACCCCGGTGCTGCTCGATCCGCAACCTCTTGATATTATAATACGCAACAGCTTGGCCGACGATGAAAATAAAGGAGCAATTTCAGGGGCGGTATGGAGTGATAAGAAAACCCCAAAGTCATAATGAACAATGATAAAGACTCTGATGGTAGCGGCGATGGAAAGCAGAAGGGTCATGTATCCGGCGATGCAGTGCAAGAGCAGCGCCTTGTACCCAACGATGGGAAGAAATTGCAAGACAACCATTATGATTGCCGGCAATGCGGCACCGAGATGAAATGGCAATCCGGCTTTTAGTAGTCTGTGCGAGTGGTAATAGCATTTCTCGGAAAGCGCATGTCCAACCGAGACTTTGGGTTGCAAGAGATGCCATTGATGTCGAGGTACATGAGGCGCGACAGGGAAATGCCAATAGTGCCAGGCGCCTACTAAGATCAGCGACAAGGCAAAGTTATGGGGTTCAGAAAAGCCTAGATGAATATATGCGCGCCTGCTTTTGGCAATAAATTTGTCGGCGGGAGGTCTGTAGGGAGCCGTTGGGATGCATGTCATCAGACAAAGTTGGTTTACGTCGGATCGCGGAGGAATTGAAGGAAATCCACGGACATTTGGCGTGAATTTATATTTCTTGTACATGATCCAAACATGCAGAGAATAGTAAAAACCTCATCTTGATTTCATATACAGCCTCTATGCGAGCCCATTGATTGCGTGTCCAGTTCGTGTCCATGTCATCTCACTTGATTGCTTTCCATTCCTTTCCCACTTGGCATGCCAGAAGCGCGCAGAATGAATCCTGAAGAGACTTAGGGCGACATGATGCGAAATACATATGTCCGGTCTTTGGAGTACGTTGAAACTAGTTGGTGCGCTATTCTAGGCAATGCGCCGAATGTAAAACTGACTCTAATCGACATGGCTTAACCAAGCCTATATCGTTCCAATCGATTCCCTCCGTCTATCACTCAGCTCGTCTCACTGTCCACGTCCTTCTGCCACAACAAAGAGACCTCCTTTCCTCCACGCTTGCCCGCAGGAAGACTTTCCAGGCCCAGAGACTTGAAGCCGAGACGGCGGGGGATGGCACCGCTTCGATGGTTGCGCTCATCGTGCCTGATCTGCACGTGCTCGGCGCCCACTGCAAAGGCTGTACGAGTCAGAAGCGACGCGGCGCGAGTTGCGAGTCCGCGACCAGTGGCTTCCTTCGCAAGCCAGTAGCCGACCTCGAGGGTATTGGGTGCCTTGGTAGCCGGTGTCATCAGCCCAAACGAGCCGCTGATGCGGCCATCAACTATGATGGCAAAGTCGTACGACTCTCCGTTGTCCCATGCTTTGGATGTGAAGTCGAGGAATTGCTGTGCTTTGGTGAGATCGTATCCGTCGGCAGCCCACGGCATCCACCGCGCCAGCTCGACGGCCGAGCTGCTCGCGGCCGCGTGTAGATCGGCCGCATCAGAGAGCTTCCATCTTCTCAAAACCAAGTCGCCTTCAACAAGACGTTCTGGCGGTGCACGGATGGTCCTTGGTGACGTGGCATGTTCGTGTTGGTGGCTGAGTGCTGGTTGTGATGCGGCACCTTGGCCCTCTGCAGGACTGGTGGGATCCGCAAGATTCTTTGTTTCGACATGGAGTGATGGCATTGTTTCCTCGGCTGCTGGGACGCCAAGTATAGCATGAGGTTTGCTGCCCAGCTACCTACCTGATGTAAAGACCGTCGACACTTGACGGTGCCATGTTGGCCAGTCTACCGAGTAGCAATGTCAATATGAGTCACCCATGTGAAATCGCCAAATCAGGAAAGCAGGAAGAATCAATTGTTTGCGAAGTGGCCGCTTGGTTCCACATTTCTCTTGCTATGCTGGTTGACAGTATAATGGATTTATGCGAGCTCGTTGGCCATCTACAGTACTATCCGGTATGGTGTAGTGGCTAACATCGCTCGCTCTCACCGAGCAGCCCAGGGTTCGATTCCCTGTACCGGAGAACTTCAGTATGGCTTATATTTTTGCTCGTTGGATGTGATTGATCTTTCCGTCTCGTTTATCTGATGACTTTATTTTTATTTATTTTTATTGCCCAGCGACACGTGAGGAGCCAGATGTCCCAGGAGCATTTTTCACGAACCTGGGCGGTGATAATGATACAGGGAGTACTCCCATGCAGGAAACATCATGCAATAGCAATAACTTGGAAAATCAGGAAACCACTCCAAGATGACGCTATTGCGAGGCGATATTGTCGTGAGTCCAGCCCGTAGACTTTGTAAATATATGTCATGTGAGACGAATAGATTTTTCCTCGTTGTCATTTTTCCCTTTTGGCATTCCTTCGATCCAGTCGTACCTCTGCCGTAATGTCTCGAAACCTCAAACTGCGGACCCGCTTTCAATTGTGGACTTGGAATAAAAAGGTTCGAATTCAGGGATAATCAACAAGGGTATCAAACCTCCTTGGTTTCTAAGAGAGAGAAAGAGACGAGCGACCACTATATATACATGAAGAGAACGTCTGTGTAACCAGCAGGTCCTTTGTCGGCGAAGTCCCTTTGTTGAGCTTCAAGAAGCGTTGAACCGTTCACAGACAAGACGCCTAGCACGTCTGGTAGGGTCAATGGGGCCACATGTTCCAATGCATATCGTCACACCAGTTGACTGCCGGAGCCGAGACCCGGACTTGGGACTCACTAATAACGAGCTGCGATTTGGCGGCGTACATTTGCAAAATACCTCATGCGGGACGCCTGCTGAGGAGTAAAGGAATTGGAGTAGGGTCTGGTCTAACATTAGTCAAAAGTCAGAGATTTTGTTGCCATCCAGTTGTGGCACACGACCAAACTCACGAGTAGTCCATAAAATTGTACATATTGCTTCGTTGCCAGCCGCGACAGGCCCAAACCATTGGCCTAGTGTTGTAATGTGACGGTTGTTCTTGTGGATACGTATCGCCGACATCATCACCAGGAGAGCATATCCGCTCGCCCCAATTCCCCCACTCAAAGGTATGATATAAGCCAAGATAGTGACCAACCTCGTGGGTAGCGATGTGGTTCTGCTTTACCCAACCGTCGACCCCAGGGACACTCTGAGCAATCACCGTGCACCCATCGCGAATGAATTCCACGAACTGAAGTTGGCGAGGGATGGGATAGTAGCAAATTCCATAGGTTCTTGAGCCACCGGCTGCTCCCCCAGGAATGGATGCAACGAAATACATGTTCAAGTCTGCATATCCGCCCTTGCGCAAGTTCTCTTTCATAGCAAACTCGTCGTAACCATAAGCCCACCTAGGGTGCCGTGTTTTGTCTACATCAGCAAGGGTAAAGGAAATTCCGACATTTCTGTAATGCTGGTTCATAATTTGTATTTGACTTGCGATCAAATGCTCCTAAATGCAATTTTAGTCTCCCGCGCTGCTCGATTCGAAGCAAACTTGAATTTTACCTGTACATAGCCGCGATTGCCTCTTGTATGATCGTATACGACATGCGCGTAAACCTGGATGTTGAAGTTTTCCTGTTGCCGGCGTGTGAGGGACGAGTTGGAGGCCTCGAGTCGTAGTTTGCGGGAAATTTCCACAAACTCTTCGCTTGGAACCTGCTCTTGGCACGGCGGCGCTGCCTCTTGACGCACATGGATTGCGCTTGCATTGACGGCATTTGCCATGAGCATGGCAACCAAAAAGGTGAGCAAAGACATTGCAGAATGCATAATACCAGCCAGTCACCAAAGGACTGGATAAGTTGAAAAGGAGTGACGGAAGCGAATGAATGGGTGCATCACGACTGAAATTTACAGACAAGGCTCTCACATTTATAGCATATGCCAGAGTGTTTATCGTCCTGCGAGTATCTCGGCCTACCGCGTCAGGCGTCGACTGACCCGTTAGTTTGGACCAAGGATCAATGTCACTTGCCATGGCCGAAGGACTACTCCCTGCCAGGGCCATGTTTCATATAACTGTTGTAAAGGAATAGTATTATTATGGATGCCAGCATAAGGTAATCTTGAGATTTCCCGCTCATCTTGCAAATTATTATCCAACAAAGGGTCTTCCAAGAAAGCCACGTTGACCTGTGCTGCGAGATCCACCGCGATGCAGTTCCGCGGGCCTAGATGAAACAACAGTCTCTTTAACTGCGGAATGACTCGGGGAGACTCGCTTATCGAGGAAAGTTATATGGCAGAGGAGTCTCTGCGAGCCATCCCGCAGCTAAGGAGTTAATGTGGGACATTGCTCCTCAGATAGATTGCAATATGAAACCTATTAAATTGGCAATGCAAACGCCGCCTTATATGCGACTAAAGAGAACGTGGACCGTTTAAGCATAGCATTAAAGTAAACTGCCAACGTAAGGACTGACCTAAGTTTGCAATTAGCCTCACCAAGTCGCCGGCTTTTCTTCTTTTCTTTGCCCTTTTTATTATACACACTAGTCTAGTATATTCGCTATATATCTCGAGACTATCACACGGCGTACTTTGCCATAGTATGGCCTGATGAATTACTGTAGCATTAGTGCGATCCATCTTTATAAACTTTATAGTAAGTGGGGCTGGGAGGGCCAATTATGCAACTCTGTGTGTAATTCATGGCTACCATGGTTGTGACTTATAACTGCATAGCTTAGCCCCAGAGTGTTGGCCCTGGGCCGTTTCGGAATATACTAGTTACCGCGACTTGTCCAGCTAAACCCGCACATCCTCCGCTTTACTACCAATATTTTTAATGCTGCTTCAGCTTATATCGCCAAAAACAAAGGGTAATTGGCAAGGGAAGACGGGCGTGGCACGTTGGCGCGACCCTTCATTCTCCTAGCCTCTCACAATGGCTGGAGCATAATTGCGGCCCAAGACACAAAACGCCTTATTAGATGCACACTATAGCTGGACTGGATGAAAGCCCGGTGTCTTGTCCATGAATCCTTCCACGGAATGGATTCCGACAATCCCTGGCGAGACGCCCGCTCGTAGCTGCGGAAAGGGGCAAAGGGGCCAACGTCAGGTCCCTCTGGACAGGTCCGCGGATCCAAACGGCAAATACGCGGATCATGGGTAACCCCTATTGTCGCGGGCGCCAGAACATGGTTACAAGAGCGTGGCCGGGACATAATATTCAATGTTGCTTCAAGACTGAGCCGCTGCCAACCGTATCGATGCTTTTTTGGCAGAACGGCGCTGTAGCAGCAGAACTAGGATACGAGGGCATTTACAGAATAGTATTAGATAGCAACGCCGTAGCCGACTTTGCGGACGATTTTGGGCAAACACCGTTGATCTTTCTCCCGGGCTGCTGAGGTGGCTGTTGCGAAGTCATAATGTTGCTGCTCGGGCGAAACATTGAATGCCAAGGTCGATTCCAAGGACCACCTCGACTGGATGCCGCTCTCGCTCACTTCTATTGGAGGCTATAAAACAGCCGCAAAATTGTTTATTACTTTAATAGTTTGAAAATAGAAATAGTTGCTTTTCAAGACAACTAAGAACGCTTACACAAAGAAATAACTGTAAAAGTCGGGGGCTATAAAGGGATTACTAATGCTCTACTTTTTAATATTAATTACGGTTTGATTGTTTTGCTCTGTAGTTAAATAAAATTACACGCATAATACAAGTATCTTGCAAGCGTAAAATCTAAAACAATATTGGCACCCCTTTTTTATACGTTATACAAAAGCGAATAAATAATTTATCCCGACTAAACCTAGCCATGGTTGCAAAGTCTATATATAGGTATGCTATAATACAAGCTTGCCGCTCATGCAGTCAACTCGAATTTATCTGATTCAAGGAGCTGTGACCGCCCGCACTATTAGTAAAAGGGCGACGAGTTGGCTATAAAAAGACAGTTCACCTCTAACGCCGCTTCGATATTCACCTTGGCTTTCTCAGGGCGATTTTCCTTGATGAATATTCTTGCGTGAAAGAGTCATCATGGCATGTCTTTTGCCGCTTTTCTAGTTTCCTCAATAGTTTCCTTTACATGTAAATTTGCGAAATGTGCCATCACCTCGGCATACGGCTGGTTTTGCGTCAAATCGTACCATGCCTTTGCGTTTCGCTCAAGTCGCTGGAGTGTCTGTTCGATAGGGGAGCTATTTAATCCCAATACAGCACGGAGGTTGGCCAAGAGAAGAGCGAGAGTAGTTGGGACCTTTATTGTAGAAGCTTGTAGGTTTCTTCGCGTTGTATAGAACAAATATAATAATAGTAGGATAATAGGTTGGTCACATGGTAATGCCACTGTGGTCTTTATATAGTCTTGACGTTGCCTAAAGCATCGTTGATTATTGCTCTCGGGCTATTAAACCGCTGCGCCTGTGATCCTTGCGATACCCTAGCCACGTGTTTGTCGGGTCAACTAGTATGACTCTGCTATTCTAGGATATGCTAAAGCGTAAATTAATGAGCAGTTTGTTCTTGGCGCTGCTGCTTGGTATAGAACCTGTGGAGAAACTCTTATTCCCTGGTTGTGGTATATGACCTATTAACCACATAACGCCCAACCCCTTGGATTGGCCGTCGCAATAGCAGAGGACTAGAATGACTATCCCGTGGGAAGACTAGTGATTACACCGCATCACGAAATAGCCTCGAGAGTACACGTGACCTGACTATTGCTCACTGTCGGGTTATCTACACCCTTATTCTATTATTACTTTACAAGGGAATTTGAAAAAATACCCTGAATCCACTAATTGATCGTTCGAAAACAGAGTCAAGATGACCCGGCCAAGTGACTTGTTAGTATGTAAAGGACCACGGACACGTTCTGGCCGCCGCTGGGTGTAATTCGCGTACGTCGCTTAAGTGGGCAAGTAATAGCCAAGTATATAATAGTCCTATAACATTATGTTTCAAGTATATAAAGGCCTTGCCGTGATCCTATAATCCATAATCTGTGTTAGCTAATATAAAATCATGCATTTATCCCACCAGGGCGTGCTAGTTGCCCTACTAGCCACGTAACCGTCCAGGTCCAAGATCCTAATATTAGTAACTTCGGCCTTAATTAATCGTGCCATATCCCTTATTAGGCTTTTTAGTTGAAGTCCTCACCACACCTTAATATAGGGCGTGGCACGTGTACTCCGTACTGCACTTTTATCCAGTCTAGGCGTGGGCCTCGTACAAATAATTAAAAAAATCATCAGTTTTCTAATAAATTCCACTAATTTATCAAGATAATCTATTATAAGTATACGAGTCAAGTGGGCATACGTGCGGCGAAACATTTAAACGCAAGTCATGCTCAAAAGGGATGCCAAGGTGAACTCGTTGGACGAGTAACTCGCCCCCTTTGCCATAGCGTCGCCACAGAAGGCAGACATGAAGAGTCGATCGGTGCAAATACCTTCGAAAGAGGTGCCGATCGTAGATTCGCCGAACGACCGAGGGCGCACTCTGTCCCATGCGGCCGCAGGCGGTTCCACGAAAGTAACGCAGTTACTCCTCGAACGGGGTGCCCAGGCAGACGTCGAGGACGAGAATAGCTCTACGTCGTTAGCCCTTGACGCAGAAGATGGGCATCAGAAGCAATCAGCATGATGCTCCGGGACGCCGTCGGCCCTGATGCCTGAGGGCCACTCATTTTTCACAGACGACAAAACATTCAGCATGTTGATATATATGACGCGAAAGGTTTGATTCCATTCCCAAGCATACGGGGAGTAGCAACTGCGTTTGAATAGCCGAACCGGCGTACCAGCCCGCGCGTGCTCTATCCAAGAAGACAACCCTCCATCGACACCTAACCTTGCATCACCAACGGCAACTACAACCATGGGGATAGTCCCATTCGCCCATGTCCCCTTGCTCCAAAGTAGTAGAATTTTAAACAAATCATATCCCACAAACACCGACAGCCGCCTCATCTCGTCTCCATATGAGACGCCGGCATCGCCTCTCACGCACCATCACTCTTGGGCCTGTACTGCACCGTAGACGGACACTTGCCCTTGGTGCCGTCCGGGGCCGAAGCGACAAACTCGCCGCCCTGCAGCGACCCCCGGACATTGAAGTGGTACCAGACCTCGTTGAGCACCTTGCCCCTGCACCCCAGCGTGACGTCGGCGCCGTGCCGGCTGGACAGCGCGCCCCGGACCCGGTCGAGCGAGTACGTCCTGCTGGACGAGGGCGTGATGCCCGCGTCCTCCAGCCACCGGTACGTCGGCAGCGTCTTGAACAGGTCGACGGTCGTCCTGAAAAAGTCGGCCGCCTCCTGCCTGGCCCTGTAGCCGTCGTAGCACCTGGGCTGGAGGGTGCTGATGCAGGTGCCGTGCTTGGCCCATTCGTGCTCCCAAAAGCTCTCGTCGTCGCCCTTGTAGTCCTTCCAAAACCGCCTCATGTAGGCCAGGGTGTCGGCGGCGCCGTTGCCCGTCAGGATGTCCTCGATGCCCGTGTAGGCGCGGCTGCCGTCGCACTGGGCGGGATACGAGCCGTCGCAGTTGTCGGGCCAGAGGCCGTGGATCGTCCAGGAGTCTGCGCGGCGCCCCGTGTTAGCTTGTCCCCCGGCTATGTGGCCGCGCGACTCTACCTTGTGGCCCGGTGGCCGGGTCGGTGTCCCAGAACTGCGTCTGGAGAAGCTGTCCCGTAGGGATGAAACAGCATGTATTCTCGACGGCCGTCTGGTTGTGGCACGACAATGGCGAGTCGGCCGGGCAGGCCTGGGGCCCTGCGGCAAAGGGGCTTGCCGCGGCGCCCGAGGCGAGGACAAGCAGACGGGCCAAGTTGCGGAGAGAGGCCATTTTGAGAATCCCTTCGAGAAGCCCGTAGACAATGATGCGGCGTGGCTCGTTTGGATACAGACAAACCTCGGTCAAGCCATGGACGGCCGCCGTTGGTTGTTTTTATAGTTTTGCTTTGCTGTCTCCTTTGCCTCATGCCTGTTGGCGATGATTGTGAAAAAGAAGGCAGGCCGGACAGGATTGGACGATTGCGCCGACACCTGACGACGCATAACGACGATCGGTGGGACGAATGGCCCCGAGAGTTTCGCATCGCGCCAAACATGGCCACATGGTGTCTTGGATTGGCTGGGAAGCTCAACGTTTCTGGTAGGTGTCATTGCCCTCGCTTACGGGAGGACATCTGGACCAGGGCGAAATGGTCGGCGCGGGCATCGGTGCCCAAGACGGTCTAGCGGCAGTGTCTTGGGAGTGAGATGCTCGCACCATTGGACTTCAGTGTTGGATAAACTAAGTTATATCGGTGTTGGTGCGAGTAGCGCGGGTTGAGTGCATGTGGTTCGTCCGAGGTGACGGCCATGGCTGCTCATAGGCTCTCACGGCCTGGCGCCGGACGCTCGACTCGAGAACCAATCACGATGGCCATGTAGCCGGGGCCGACCGATGGCAGCGTCGATCATGGATCGGCAACGGGTCACCACCACGCCCCTGAAATAGAAGTAGGAGCCTGGCGAGGTGAGACCAGGCGGCGTCCAAGACATTGCCCCGCCTGGCTCTCGGCTCATCCGTCGTCGTTGGGAACCACTGCCGACAGTGACATTACCCTATTCGACAGTATTCTGGAAAAAGTTGAGGAATTGCTGCACAAACGCCCGCGACATGGCACCGACACGGAGCGCATGCAGTCCAGCACCGGCACCAGCATCTTCGGATAGACGCCGCTGCCGTCCCCACAACAAGCAAGTCACGACGACGTGTATTCAGTCCCATCGCCACTGGTTCTAATCACGAATGTAATCCCAGTGCCTGGCCGTTTGCGTGTCGCCCACCTCGGCAGTATGCTGCAGCTTGCACAACCAGACCTTCCTAGATAGGTCAACTAGTTGTGGACGCGCACCGGCGTGTAACCGAGCCTGGCGATCAGCAAGCTACACACGTACCCTGCCACAAGGCCTTTGTATGCGCAGGTTCTTGTTGTAAATGTCTGTACCGAGTAATATATAGTTCATTGGTCCGTCATCAGCATTCGACCTGTTACGCCGCCGAGTAACCAGCGCTGCAAACTCCCCAGTCATCGTGCAGTCAAGACTCAACACCACACAAACTCTCTGGTATAACCCACGCGTCAGCTATTCCTGACCTGGCTCAGTTGCCGCTCACAAAGAAGTGGTACATGTGCCAATTCGCCCCGTGCATCAAACAGTTCATACATGTTCTGGGTATTCCAAGTCATGACTCATTATAGTGTACAAAAGGCTCGTGTATCTTTCCCCCACCCACTCCTTTTCAGCATGCTATGCCGACTCCTGTGCTGCCGTTTTCGACTTGTTCTTACTCGACCTATCGTACAAGTAGGCAAACAACAAGGAAGCAAAAAATATGTAGGCCGATGAGATGCCAATCCAGACAAGCTCGGCCTTGTAGGCCCGGTTCCACTCCAGCCTCGTCGCACTCTCAATGTCATCGGCGTTTAACAGACCGACGCCCTCGTCCACCAAGAACTGCCAAACATAGTCTCGTCGTGAAATGGGCCACGACGGCAGAGACCAGTATCTCGACGTTAGATTCTTGGCCGCCGCGGCTTGCAGGGCAGCTCGAACGTGGTCTTTTTGACTGCTCGAAAGGCCACTGTTGGTTGGCCTGAAGGTATGCATCAGTGGCGCCGATGCCGTGTAAAACTTGGCAAGCGGTCGGTCCAGAAGAGAGTCCACCTGGCAGTCTGCAAGTTTACCCAAGTTGGCGTCGTCGACAAGCGCATCAATGGGTGCATCGAGGAAGCTGTCCTTGTACCGATTCAGGGCGTCGCATCCGACTCCCGTGACATTCGACTTGCCGATATTGCCAGACGCGACGACGGTGACGGGACCTTGCTTGAAGACGGGCGCCGACTTCGAGCTGGATGTGCCGTTGCTGTATTCAAGCGTGGAGAGGTAGCCGCTTTTGCGGAGGGGTTCCAGCTGTTTGTCAACTACGGGCCAGATGTCTGTTGCGTTTCCCTTGACGTCAATGAGGAGAACTAATGTGGTATCAGGTGCCGTGTGAAACACGCCATTCGGCCCGCCATCGAGGTCAGTGACGTTGTCAGGATTCAACTTGTCGAGAATCTCCTTGATCGGATTGAGATAGAGTGTTTGCAGAGTTCGGCTTGCTGATAGCGACGAACGGCGATGGCCAACGTAGAGGTCGCTTCCATTTGGGCTCAGCCATACATCGGCTTCAACGCTCATGCAGCCGGCCGCGAGGGCCGAGTATAATGGATGCGGCCGCCAGTAGTCATTGTGCGAATGCACCGGTACGGGGATGACGGATTTTGCGTAGTCATTGAGGTACGTGTCCGGAGACGGGCTTGACGTAGCGATGGGATTTATGGAAATGAAGTTGTGCGACTGAGTTGGTCGCATGGCCTTGGGCTGGGCAGCCCACGTAATGACTAGGATGATTCCGCTTTGCAGACGAGCCCGCGTCAGTCGCAACGGCATGTTGATTGATGCCACAGCTCTGCTCATTTGAATCAACTTACATGGTCAAGCCCGTCCCGCCGCTGGCAATCAGCCATAGGAGTAGTGAGCGGGCACAGAGAATTTCGTACCGGCTCGGGTCCGAATGCCGTCGCCGTCGCCGCCGCTTCTGGTCATGTTCCAGACCATCTTGTGAAATCGTCGCCGGCTTGTCCTTGTCCATCTCTCTCATCGTTGCGCCGGCCATGTCGTCTTGGGCATGTTTGGTTACTTCCATCTCTACGGCGCTGGCCAAAAATTCATCCTCTCAACTTTAATCGGCGCGTGTTCAACGGTCTGGAGATGATGCCGACAAAGGAGCCAATCATGTCCCCCAACCACAAGTCTGCAATATTGGAAGCCGTCCGAGGCCGCGGGTTCAAATGACGCAAACCATGCCTAGCCGGAGGTGTGTACTTGGGGACCCAAGGTAGCTTTATAGGAATGCGAGGTGGCATCCGGGCAGTGCTGGGCAGTGAAGAATAGTTGCATGTCGGAGGCGGCTGAGTCGGGCTGACTGACGAGCTGCCACAGACCAGGTTGTTGGGTTCGCCATTTGATGCATCACTGGCGGCATGACTGGTGCTCAACCTGACCGCAGTGGTCAGCAGCCCGCGCGCTCAGCTAAGCCCTGCGAAGTTTGTGTCCATGTCGAATGGAGGACGTTGGGGCCAGGTGCGACAAATAGTACACCACTCATGACTGCGGTCTCGCCCACGGTCCATTGGCTCTGCCACGGAGGTCTGACGCTCTGGACGATGCAAGTGGCTGCTGGACCCTGGTCAGCTGGTGCTAGCGAATGCTTAGCTGCTCCCCGGCCAGGGGACAAACGAAGGATGGAATACGTGAGTAGCCACTGGCCTCAGTGCTGCCGTTTTTGCCGGCACGTGGCTGATCGGACTCTCGCCGAAGGCCCTTTGTACAATCTCGACTCTTGTGAGAGGGCTGAGGCTATGTGTGTGAGCTCGGGTACGCCCCGCCACCAACCCACCGCCGAGTTTGCCGTGGCTCGCGGGTGTGGTCCAGATGGCGGCGAGCGGCGTCAGAGGCTGGGATAGTCATGGCACCACCAACGCCAGAACTCAGGGACGAGTTGGAGGTCGATGCGGAGCTAGCTCGACGGCTGGCCACACCACACGAGTCGTGACTGGGCAGACGGCTCTGCGGCTTGGGCGTGGCGCGGGCGAAAAAGGCTTGATTTTACTTAATATATACCGGTGTCGATTGAGTTTGTCACCCAGGGTCCCCGTTGGGCTCAAACGCAGGCAGAAGGAGGGAAGCCCGCCTGAACATGTCGTGTGTCTGATTCCCCAAGTTGTGACACTCTTCGGATAGACGGCAAGCTTCTCCTCTTGGATCGGAATGCTCGACCTGCGCCGCGCTGATTCATTCCGACTGTCGAGGGATGGATCTGACATGTCTGGAGACGCCAACTAGGGCTGGCGCAGGGGATGTTGTCGGATCAATGTTGGCTCATGACGCCACTGACTAGGCAGCTCTGGGGCGTGGCGTTGGCGGTGGTAGTTCGAACTTGGCCGTATTGTGGTTGTATTGTGATTGTAGAATTCGATGATTGTCTCAGCAGGGTCAGAATCTCGATGGTACTATTTTGATGGAAGTCCTCGAGACCATCAAGGCAAGGCAAGATGAGGCATCAATGCCGACCGGACTGCTAGGCAGCCATGTGGGCGGGCCATGTGCACCGTCGACATGTGTGCGAAAGATTGGCTGACCTCACAGAGCCTGCACCAGACCAGACAGACGCATGCACATGTCGACGGTCTAGTGTGGGTGCAGCATGGAAGCCAAAAAGAAGCGATGATGGGTAAGCCATCCATGATGATGACTCCGCGTTTGATGCAAGAGCCAGATGACGCCGCCAGCTTGCCCTACCCTTCCAATGTCACTGTGCCCTTCGCGTGCCCATGCGCGGAGTTCCCCGCGTCTTGTGCCACAGGACAGGTCAACTTGTGCAGGTGTGCCGCAGTTGTGCCGGGCACCAACGCCTCATGCAAGTGCGCGATTTGTGCACAGGCCACATGCATGAATGCAAATGCTTCAGAAACCACACCGCAAAAGGTTCTGGCGAGAATATCCATGTTGGATACCGTCGAGGCCTTTGCCTCCCGCCTGCAGGGCCAGTTTCGGCATCAACCCCAGATCCAAGCAGCAACTGCCTCCTAAATCGCATGCATGCACGTTGACGATACCTGAGACCTCATTGTCTAAATTTGGCACTCGCGGGGAGTTGATCGCCGTGGATAAAGTTTCCCTGTCTCAGGAACCAGCTTGGCGTGTTCCTTTGGCCATAGCAGCCACTTTAGCTCAGCCGTTCTCCTGCCATCTGCCAAGTTTAGACGCAACATGTCAACTAATAATAGCACGTCAACAATTGTGGCTTGTGGCCAGTGTCTCCTCAAGCCCGTCGACACTTGCAACGTCGGTGGCACTGCGAATCTGTAACACTGCATCCATGGCTGACGCCAGGAAAGGCTGAAATCGAGTTTTTTTTTTCTTTTTCCCTTTTTTTTGTCATTCCCAGGCAAAGTGACTAGCATTGGCAAGGTCTGGCGACGCGAGCCTAAACTCTATCTTGAGGCTGGACTACGAAAGATACAGCCGCGTCCTGGTGCCTTTATTGAAGATTTTTCCTACTTAAACTACAGTGGTTGGTATAACAATAAATATAATGTTCAATCTACAGCTGAAAGTACTCTGGCAAGTCCGGTGAGATGGCATAGCAGGGGCAGTTGCTGGTTTCTCAATCGTCACATTGCGTATAGGGTGAGCACAACCTCTACCCAAGTTATTGCCCCTTCCATGGGTACAATACCACGTGCAGGAGCATGTTATTTGGCAATATTTTCCCAATACAGGCTGTTTGAAGGCCCCATTAGCGGTGGACAGTATATTGTCTCTGTTAGAGTAGCCCTTTGACACACTCTAGAACCATGCTGTCTTGAATATCAGCCAGGCCAGAGTAGAGAGAAACAAACGACCAATGCAACTAAGATAACAAGCTCGCTCTATGCATTATCTCCAATGACTGAACGGAGGCCAAAATACTGGCCCCTACATGTCTAGCCCTGCTTCTCCTCCGTATTTCAAGGTCCAGTACATGGCCTCTTGTTCAAAACCAAGGCCGCCAAGGCCATGGGTTTACCGCTCGTCCGCAATTCCAGCACGTGTAAATGTGCTTGCAGTTCCTTTCCAGTCCAGTTTCGCAGCTCTATGGCATTTGAGCCAGAGCATCAAGAAAGGTATTCGCCCTCGCGTGCGCAGCCTGCCCCTGTTTCCAACAAGACCCGCGACCAAGGAAAGCAGGATTAAAAAGTCCAACTTGTCATGTGTAGTTGGAGTCAAACTTGAGCATGCCAAGACGTGTGTTTGAAGTCATGTCTCGCTTTCTAATATGGATGAACCTTCCAAAGGGTGCGAGGCAAGACACTGGGCAAACGTCCCATATGCTCCGAGCGGCACGGCACAGACTCCATCTCGCATTGACCGTAAGAGACGTGACGTTAAAGGCACGCGCAATGAGCTCCACCTGGTCAAGATGGCTGAATAGCGAGCTCGGATACAGATGAAGAGTTGCCATCGTCTTTCCCGTCTCCGAGCGCACGCTACGAAACATGTCCTGGGCCATATTTCTTTCCGGGTGCAATGCGGAGCGATATGCCCCCGTCGTCAGCCATAACACGGACGACTCAGTGAGTAGCAAGCTCTGGAGTTTATTGAAGCTGTCTTTGGATAAATCTGTCAGGAAATTGCCATCAAGCTTAAGTGGACGAATGTAGTGAGAAGATGGAGCCGGACTTGGTTCGTCAAAAGAAGACATTGACGGCTGAGAGTGTGATTGAGATTCAATTGTGCAGAAGAGTGAAGAGATTAGTTGGTCTGACGGATCTCGACCAGATACCAAAACGACAATACTCCGCAGAGGCGTCAGCTTCATCTCGGATGACAATAACTGGGCATCATGGCACCCATTCACTCTGTGAGTCGTGTGGAATCCATTGGGATCGTCGTTGACTTTTGCCTCGCATCTCGAACCGTGTCCTTTGAGCCCTCGATGACCATTTAAATGCCCATTAGTCAACACACCGTCAAAGGGCTGATGGATCTGTGATTCCCGTCCATGTATGGCTCTCCGTTTGTCGCTGGGTGTCCGTTTATTTCTTCGCCTGTGGTGCTTTCATGTATCCGCGGTGCGGCGGTTTTATTAGGTACATGGCGGCCATGACCATTTGTTAGGGCTTCGATTTTCTCGTCCTCGACACTCGTGCCGAAAGTCTTCTATTCGAGCTTGTAACATGGCAACCTGGGCTTTTGGTCGGCGCCCATGTCGCCTTTGGCGGGACTCGTCTTGAAATCTTCCATTATGACGACCGGCTCGCCACACGCAGCATGCCAAGCGTCGATGTACAAGTGAGGAGACGGGGCCTGGACTCTGAGGACCGGGACGACCGGCGGCTACTACCCGGAATATTCGGCAGCCTTGTGCTAGTCCCAGCATCGCCAATGGCCGAGGGCATGGACAGAGACGGCATGCTGCCAAATCCGGCACCAAGGAGCGGGAAGGTGAACTGAAACACCAGGTCCATAAACGAGGTTAAGAAAATGGGCCGGGTTTCATAGGCAGAATGCATCGACGCTGCGGTATCCGGAACGGCAACTCCTCCCACAGCATAGTCCCCAGACACGCCGATGTGTCCGGCCGAGTTTACGGATGACGAGTCAAGACTCGTACTCGGCCCCTTGACCACCCAGCTCGGCATAAATGTCGTTCAAGGGGACGGGGACAACAGCCGCCGACTCATCCTAATCCTTTGACAGTCGATAACGGGCGCCTTGGAACGTTGACGCGTTGACGGTATTCGCATCCCGCAACTCTTTGGCAGACACCAAGCTGCGGCGGTGCTCAAGCCAGCGTCTACTGGGTGCGCACGAGGAGATGCAAAGCTCGTTGCAGTCCTTGGGTTGAGATCTAGTCCCCTCATTCTGGACGCAAGGTGACAACTATTCACCAGCAATGTGTGCAATGGTAGGGTTGCCACTGCCACGATGGTGAATGAGGGTTTCACGTTGTGGGTGCAAATTCACAAGGATTTTTATACCCGTTAGCTCGCGCTCATATGTCATCAGAAGCTGGGATACGGCATCGACCAGACAAGTGAGTGAGGAAAGCAATTTGACCACCTCCCATCA